CTGGTCTACGCTGTTGCAAGAATTGGTTTGTCTATTTCATTTGGTTCTACGTTGTAGTATGTCGAAGTAGTCGCACGTGTGCGGGTTGTATTATTTTATTCTTATATTTATTGTTTACGCCCCCGGCACGGTCGCGTGGAATAAAATCCGCTACTGCAGACATACTACCAGTGAGTGATATTATTTACGGCCGACGGGCCTATTGTTATTATTATTTACTATAATTTAACTTCGTTTAAAAATTATACTGTTATTAAACCTCTAATTATTATTTATGTTATGCTGGTTTTCAGCAATTRCCTTATTATATTGCTTGTTAATAATTTACTTGTATATTATACAAAATAAARAACAAATGTTATCAACGCAAGTGATGTCAATAATATAATATAATTCCTGCAAGGATAGTTGCRCCTTGTGCTGCCTATCAACTAGGCCGTAAWTGCATTTTTCTATTATTATTTTAGAAGGCTGAAAGCGAGCCAACAATTATATTTACACATACAAAATAAAAATAAATWTTACCCTTATTTAGCACGGGGTGTATTTCAATTTGTTTGTAATTAATTATRAACTATGAATATCATTAGTATTATTTTTCCATACATATTAGTATATTGCATATAGAATWTAAATAAAATATATGTATGTTATGTCCTGATTGGCCAGTGGTGTTTATTAATTTATTTTTTTCATAACMTTAACTAGGTATATTTTGATTACTTTATAATAAAAGAAATCTTTATATATATTTGCTGACAACTCTCTTAAACAAATTCTAGAAACGCTATGGTTTTAATTATATTGATTTGCGTACCTGAACAGCATAAGGTCTGAAGAGTCCGAAGATATGGGCACCGATGTGTAACTCAACGGTGCAATGCTTAACATAGTCTTGACGCTTTCGTCAATCGTGATCGAGTGCAACACGTAAAACTTATGCCATCCTGTATGCAACAGAAACGATCTGAGCGCGGAAAACAATTCCCACGGTGTTATCGATACTCTGACTACCATCTCGTTCCAGCGTTCCTGTAACAAAAACATAGTCGGAAACATAAATAATCGGAAGAGATCGAGCGATTTATTATTTAAATTACGTCATAACTTATTGATTGATTAAATTGTAACCAGTATATACGATTTGGTTTAACCTTTATGTTTTCCGGATTAAACAACATTAATTAACTATTTGTATGAAACACTTTGTTACTAAACAATAATATGTTCATATAATATTAGTATTCAGCATTGACATATGATATTAAGAATATTTATCGTCGTTTTATAAAAACATATTTAAAAAAAATTAGTTATAAAATACAACTATAATGAAAAAATGATGAACATCTTAACTTATAAGTACAACATCAACAAATTGCACCAACAGAATGTGTTTCCAGTTATAAAAATTATCAAATTATACAACAAGCACAGTGTTTACACTGTACACATATCTATACATAATATTATTTTCTAATAATATATTAATAATATATTCTGAGCTTGATTGGTCACTGGATATACTGAAGGTATTTCTGCAGAAATTCAGTGGATTATTATTACCCAAACGCCCCAAACGCAACAGTGTTWTGTTTATATTTTGTTGAAAGTACTCCTTTGATACCCCAAAACTCTTAAGCCAATGACAAATATCTCTATACTCTATATAGAGAAATAATATAATACCGATTATCATAATTTAATACACTAATACAAAATAACGTATATTTTCATACAAAATATTCAAACATTTCTCATCAGGTTTCAGCCCAAAACTAATGGTTTACGACTAATGACTAGATAATCACCTCACATTTAAAATAAATCTATACGATTCTTTGTTAAGAGTTAAATTTATTTTATTTTTTTTTGGTTTTCAAACTACAAATAAGTTCATTTTAATAGTAGTTTCTTATCTAAGTTTATACTCGTATTTAATTA